CATCATTTTTTGGATTGTTTATTGTACAGGCAGCAAAACAATTATGCTTTAGGTGACCTGATGATACGTTTGCCAGAACGTCTCCGTGTGTTACCTTTTTTGAATGCTTGATTGACCATAACTGAGAAATTTCCTTGAAAATAGATTCACAGATATTCAGACAGATCCACTAGAGTTTAAAACATAATTGCTTTTTCCTGAGACGTTTTACTCAATTCACACTTACTGCTATACATTCGCAAAAACGAAACAGAGGGGGTTGTAGCTGAATGAAATAAAGCACAATCTGTATTTTTCCATATTCAAAGGTAAAGGATTAGCCCGAAGCACATAATACTTCAACGGTACAACTTGCGGTGAAAATGAGAAATATAGGGATACGGGTGCAAGAATTCCGCTTTGTACTAGATTGTGGCAGAACAGCAACAGAATCAGTGAAATGGTTAGTCGCAAAGTACAGGTATTGATCAAACTCGTGCAAAACACGGACTTTTATCACATTTCCTCCTCCCAACGCTTAATGTTTCGAGCCTCATCATCACGGGGTAGAACACGATTTTGCCTCACATCAAACGCAACATATCTGTGTCTTCTCCAGCAGCCTTTGTATGGCCGCCGCCCCCTTTCTGAATGCTTGCATATTCAATAAATAAAACAGGAAGTAAAAAGCACAGGACACGATACTTAACATAATATTTACCTGTGTTTGCTTCTACTATGTTATGAAAAGTACGATTTCTCGAGTTCGACGACGGTTGCTGGTGCATCAGTTGTACGATAACAAACCCTCAATAAAACATTACTGAAAAATATTTATAAAATGACTCACAGGCATGATGCACTTGCATTTCTTTAATGTTGTATTTGCCCCTTGAACTTTTGAGCACTGGATGCATTCTTTTCTCTGGGAATTTATGAAGTTGACTGTCATACAGCAATTTCTAGTTTCCTTACACAATGTAGTTACACTCTCCAACAAATCTGGGTATCTTCCTTCAGGTTTATGGCTCTAAATGACTGCATTCAATACGAGTTTTAAAGAAAATCTAGACAACATTTGTCCACCAAACACCCATGTTATTTGTTAGATATTTTCTCATCATGCACCGCATCACCAGTGGTTATGGTGTACTTTAATCGGTGATACTTCTGTGTGAGGAATAAACAATCAATTTTCATGAAATGGTCTACGATATAGGAAAAGATGGAGCACAATAAACCGAGATGATACCACGATACCTTACACAAAAACAGTTTAAAACTGGTGATCACAGTCGATTTACGAATCTAATTCTGTTGGAAACAGTTATCCGCTTTGGGAGAAAACTGCATGATATTACGGAGATTATCATTTGTGATAACCTGGAAATTGATTTTATTCCAATCACAAATAGGTCATTTGTATTTGGAAAGTATCTAATGATTCGGACTCGAGGGTGTGAAAACTCAACAAATAGAAAAATTATATCACCAGCATTGATTTACAATATTAAAATAGTATGCCGAACAATGTTCACCAAATTGAAAAAGTGACTATTAAGGAACCATAATACCTGAATATGTAACGCTAAAAGATAAGGGCAGAATAATTGTAAGAGTGAATGAGAAAAACATATCCATTTCATCACATCTGTTGTATAAGCATAATGTATGGGTAAGTACCAACAATGCGACAGCATTGACGCTGATTGAACATCCCAGAAAATAAAAACCCGTCCTCGTTGGAACTCAGTTTTTCGCATTGTTGCAACTAATCGTCGAACATTATAACTAAGGGTTTTCATGGTATTTTCGTCATCATGTTAGAAGTGACATTGTAGGAGAGACCAGTTACTTCCACATTTAATCACCGTGATTCGCCGTAATGCTTGGACACTTAGCGCGTCGTTTATCAAAGCCTTCCCCTTTGTCGCTCCAAATCAATATTTTGTCCTTTTTCAATCAATTTGTTCCAATCTTCGTCACCAACGGTTCAAACAGATTCGGTTACAAAATACGCACGCAAACAAATATTCCACATTGGGTACATTCCTACGGAATAGACCGGAACAAACTCGTGGGAGACAACGCCTCTTAGTTGAGTATACGCCCAAATCTATTTTGAGTCATTTATTGCCGGTTGTGAGCAATCGCCTCTACTGAGAGGTACTGTGAATTCCATGATTGATTAAAGCAGTAATTATGTATCGATCGAACTCACATTCGACTGATGACAAAAGTCCGTCGCCAATAACAATTGCCATGTAATCTTCTTGATTTTGGTTTTATCCATTCTAGAAGTAAAAGAATAATCAAGTTGAAGGTGAATCACTTTGAAAAAATATTTATGAAAGCGCAGAATAGCCAATACACCGTGCCGAGAAACGTTTTCTAACCTTATTCATTTATGGTTTATTTCCACATCATGTTCAATTATGAGTTAACAAAAATATTCATTTTTTGGCAATATAGAAATAGTCTGGTAAGAAGCGTAAACACAACTTTTCAACATTTCAGATTTATTAAAAGAATCACATGATGAGAAATGGAAACCTATGCTGGATTAAACGGATAGTTCCCTGCAATACCAAGTAAGGTTGCAATCGAATTTAGTCCGTTTGATGATGGTAGCCCATTTATTTTGGAAATGTCGGTACCGTTTGTGGCATGATGTTCAGCCAGCGGTACTCCTTGAGGTTTTAAAATTAAAATCTTTGAGTGCTCCTCTTCTTTGAAATTGAAATGCTACGTTTTAGCAATATCAATTTTTCTCTTTTGGGGCACGTGTGTTTTAGCTCTGCACCTAATGAACTGCCTTATACAGGTGAAATATCGGTGCCGACAAGGTATTCAAAATCGGTTCTTGTAGCTCAAGTGAACTGGATTCCATTTCGCCGCTTCGCCGAGCTTGGCTATTTGCTTGCAAACGTGAACATCATTCGACAGTCAGGAGGCATGACCCACTATCCTTGATTTCCCTCCACGAAGATCAGGAAGGACATCAGTTTGATTTCGAATCCGTGAGAATTATCGACAAAGACAGATCAAAACACGCCAGAGAATTTCTCGAGGCGTAGCTATCTTCAATCAACTCAGTAAAGAAACGCACCGACCTGAATCACGTGTACACGCCAATGCAACTCCGGAATCAGATGACGCAACACAAAGGTCAGTTCGTGACCCGGGAACGGACCAAAACTGCAATCAGGAACAACCCACCCACTTTCACTCACCCTCTCGCACCAGTTCAACTGCCAACCGAGTCGAACACACTGAGAACAAGGGACAAAATGGTCGGTGCTGAAGAACGCATACATAAACGAACGAGTACGAGAACACTGCCAGTTCACAAGCACCGATGATTTTACCTCGGCTGGTAATGAAACGTTTGTAAACAAATGCCAAACTTGGTGAACGGGCCAAATGGAATCCGTGCTGGCTTTTCCACTCATTCAATTAAAGCATTGCAAATTCAGCCGCGCATCACTCTTATTTTTACCGGGTTTATTCACTTCTCGTTGAGCAGTTCGAACAACAATCGATTTTCGATTCACTATAAAGACCCGTCCCTTCAGAGTCTTATTCACTCCAGCATTTGAAAGATTTTTTGTCCCAAAGCAACATGTTTTCCTTAGTGCGGGCTATAATTCTAACTATCACTATTCTGCGCTCCGAATGTAATTTATCAACGGTAACTACATTCCGCTATATATATATATATATATTCATGAACATACATACATACATATATACACACATACATACATATATATATATACATCGACGTTTGGATAGACAGCTCTTTTAGAGCCAATCCATTGTGACGAAAATACACTTCCTGGAGACAAGTGAACGAGTGAACTGACAAAGGATTACCGGATGCGCATGGCTGACGAGCATCAAGAACCGCGAAACCGGTCGTGTGCTTCCAATAATTCCCATACTACTTATGATGAAATATATGTATATATACCAGGGGTAGCATTTGTTTTCAGTGATTGTCCGTAGTAAATATACAAACCACATCCTTTGGTCAAATTATGTAATAAGTTAATGGATTCCTATCTAATCATGGCACTATTCTAACATTTCCGGAAATGTAAATGTGCCTGGAAAAACGAAGGTCAAAAACTGCATTCGATGGACAAATAGATAACAATAGATAACAATAGATAACAATAATCAAATGAAGTACTAGACAGGAGTAGACTAAACGACAAAAATACTATCGGTTCAAGACAGAAAAACACAGACTGACTGACCAAATTTCTTGATAGACTTGTTGAATGAAACACTGAAATTTGGTCTCGCTGTTGACCACAAACTTACCTCCTGGGACGCTGCTCCATTTCGTTCAAGAGAGTATTATCGATGTACTGAAGCACCAAATTCAACCGCTTCTTCTTCCGAAACACTTCGATAAGATTAACCAAATTTGGATGTTTGAGGCGCTGCAAATGCAGGGCGGGTGGGTGGAGTGTTATTTGCATTGGTATGCGAAATAATAATAAGGCTTTTCAACCCAGACAAAAAGGAACATGACGTTGATAGGTTATAATGGGAATTTTAGTAATGCACCAAAATCCAGAGGCANGTTTGGGTGGCTGCTTAGCAACGCCGGGTTCAGTACTCAGAATGCAGACCAGAACTGTCCCAAAATAGGATATTTTTAGTTCCATTTCCCTCAAATTAGTTTACGGTCTGTAAAAAGTATTACTGAACTGAACTGTCATTAGAAAGAATCGTTAGTTCCTCACGGAACGATAAAATACCGGGTGGAGGCTTTGAGCCTTTCAATGGATGTCGTTGGTGAGGATCAGTCTGGAGGGGCCAATAGTCGACTGGAGTGTCCTGAGTGACTACCAGGGTAATTAATAAAACAACTAAGATGGAAGATCTTTATATTGCCTGCAACATTTGGATTGGTCAGTTTGACAACGTACAATGAAATGAATGTCAGAGTAATATAGTGTTAAAACGGGAACTCTGCACAAGCATCAAATTGGACATTTTTAAGTTCATTTTCTGTAAAATGTACTAATCGAGCAACAATTCATAGGCTACGCTAGCTTCTAATTCATTCAACCACATAGAATTTCTCAACAGTAACAATAAGTAGCAAAGTTAACATACTACAATGTTAAAATTGTCTTATTCAAACATTTGCCACCATGTTTTGATCAAAAGCATGCCGAATATAAAATCCTTGACAGAAGAACTGCCAGAAACAAATTCGAATAATTTAATAATCAGAGCACCTCGACATTTACTTATGCATTAACATTGTTCGGCGTAAATCTTCATTTCATCTAAATCAGTCACAAAATTTTAGAAAATAAAGCTTGTTTTCGGTCACTTGTTCCTCGAGTTGATACAGTTACCTTAAAAAATATTTTCTTTCACAAGCTTTGCACAATACTCTCCGACTCATTTTCACGATAGGGACAATAAAATAACCAATCGAAGATAATATTCCTTTGGATACGTACGGTTATATCTCATTGATTGTTGCTTAATTGAATCCATTAAGCTTTTTCTCCTGGTAAAATAATTCGTTAAAAATGTAAATACTACTATAAGGGTGACAATAAAAAACTGTTTCTAATTTATTGTATGTAAAACGGTACAGTTGATATGCTCAATGCTTGATACGACCAAGCTGAGAATGTCTGGTGAGTTACAGAAATTCGAAAGATGGAAGGACGTTGACGAATCATCCATTGTGTTGATTATTGAAATATCAGTTGATGACCTCGGTCAATTGCTTTACATTTGCACACAAAACATGAAACTCCAGATCAGGGACGACATTTATTACCAAGAGCTCCCCTCTGGTCTACTTTACGAAACTGTCTTCTCGGCCAAACTGGAAATATACATCTTTCAATCGACAATCGACCATTTTAAATTATACAAGCGATTTTTCGATGAAATTTTGCTTTCTTTTGCTAACATTATGAGCATCGAAAGTATACAGCTAAGCACAAGGTTTAATTTCGCGAAGAAAGGGAATGAGAAGACTGCGTTTCTGGACGTTCTGCTAAGTCGTCAATCAAACGGAACTATCCGGCTCACTGACCAAGTAAACCTTCGTGAAACGGAAAAGATATCGTGTCCAGTACCAGTGTTGGGGGAATGAGCGATAACAGCGTGATTGGATTGATATTCTTATTAGACAGATAGTTCTTCAAAACGGATACCCAGAACGATTCTCGCATATCATTTTGGGATACTACAGGTAACTAAATCAAATCACAACCGTTCGAAAAAAACGGTATTCGCGTTGCTACTTTTTAGGGACGACATATTTCCCTAGACGGTAACACAGCTGTCTAAATACATTTCTCGTATTGTGGTCATCTCCAGTCCACTATTGCGATTTCCGCTGAAAGAAAAATTACTTGTTTCAGTAGTATGTCTTAGTTTACTTATTTACCTGGGAGATCGTATGTTTGCCGCAAGAGGAGACGTGAATTGGGTTGGCTGAATATTGAAGGGATGACGCCCATCAACAGTTCCATTGATTCGCAAACGTTGGAGTAGTCGAAACATTTCTACCCGGCTACTTTGTTTGCAGTCGTCGATTGAAGAGAATTAGGGGTTGCATTTTGGCCACAACGGAGGCGATCGAAATTCACATGCATTCTTCCCCCTCCCCCAATTATGCTCACAAAAACAGTTCGTAAGAACTCTTGGTCATCCATGACACACACGAAACATTTGACCCCATTCTGCATCCGCCCTCAATGACCTAAACTAATGTGTATGTGTAATGAGTAAAGTGTGACCAACATTCGATTATGGAACTGGAACTGTTTTGCTGAATCAGTCGGTAGATGAATCATCATAAATGAGCTTGTTCGTCACTTGGTTTTTTTTCGTACAGTTTTTATTGAATTTCTTGAGCATCCGAAATAAATACATCACTGAGTTGGCGAAAGTGGATTAACCGAAGGAGGGTTATATTTCTTTCCCAGGTAAGATTTTTGTCCGAGTTCCATGAAAGAGAATGGGGTGGGGGCTGTGTGTACTAGACAGACGGTAATGTTCAAGCACTTGCCACCCAACCGACTAAAATCATTGCCTTTTTCAAAGACCCATGACTCGCATTCCTCATTAGTTGTTTCAATATACATTCTCCGGGTGTCCATCACTCCATAATTTGTATTGGGACCTGGCATTTA